TTCGAAATGGCCTGGGCCTATGAAATGTCCTAGGTTGACCTCCAATTTTGGTAAAATAAAGCCCAAACCTATGTTGTCAATATAGCCCAATAGCCAAATAGGCCCAAACAATATTATATATGCATAGTCTAAAATATCGATAATATCGACGAAATATCATGGATATTATCATTTTTTTGGGTCACAGATATTTCGGAATATATCCATACATATATCGTATAAATATCGATAATATCGGAAAATATCGATGTTAATAATTTTGCTCACCCTTCAATAATATTTTGTCAAAATATCGCTATAATATCGAAAATATCGATGTAATGGAAAAAAAGAAAAAAAACACAAAGCACACATGCAAAGGTGATTCGAACCCCTGCCATTTCACTCCTCCAATGCCTTTACTACCATGTTGCTTATGTTTTTGTGATAATACGCAAAGGGGAACTCTATGTGGTACTAAGTCACTCATGTATCTTACTATGCAATGTATAAAGTGTAAAATATTGTGGTAAAAATCATTATATATAAATGATTATGGTGTGTTTAATCTTCTTTCATTAACTACTACATATTTTCTACACTCACAATGTTTGTCAACTCGCTATATAATCAACTTAAATCAGTTAGACCCATCATGCAATGCATTTCCTTCCATTTTTTGTGATAAACTAATAGATAATTGACTAAATAAACATCCCCCAAAGTTTCAATAAAAATTTCCAAGTTTTCTTACAATTTCCGTGGTTTTTATTCAATTTTTATCGATATCGATAATATCCCGATATTTCCATAGAAATTTCCGTGTTTTTCGACTACCGATATTTCCGATACCATTGATATTTTAGACCTTGTATATATGTAACAAGTTGAAGAATATGATTTTAGAGGAGAATAATTTAGATAGTTTGGAATTTGGAGGCCCCAAATATGATTACAAGTGTTTCTGAAGAGTCCAAATGAAAATTATGTAATATACAAACATCAATTCGATGTATTTAAGTATTTAATTGCCAAAAAGTATTTAATTCCTAAAAGTAGCAATCAATGAAAGAAAGCCAATAGGTACTAGAAATTCTTTTATTTATTCAAAAAAATTTGTTAGTAGATTATTTAGCAAGAAAATATGAAAGAGTGCAAATTATTTGTATCCTCATTCTTGTTTATTTTCAGATTGGGCAACAATTGTATAACCAATATTGGAGCTGTGTTTATTTATCCAAATTGTATTTAATAGAATAATTTTTTTTTCCATGTTAGTTTATTATATTCAGGAGAATGAAATAGAAATGGGCCTCATTTTCATTTCTAGTCTAGGGCCACCCAAAAGTCAGGGTTGGCCTTGTCCCTGGTTCAGTTACCACTATGTCTAGTGTGGGAGCAAATATTTTAGTCTCCAATCAAGAGACGCCATGTGGATAAGAAGAATATTCCCTAAGTTAGTTAATTGAGCCCATTTATTTGACCAATTAATTAATCCTAAAAATAGGGATAATATCTTAAATATGAGATATTATCTTTATTTAAAAATATAATATCAACAATTTAAATATTATCCCAATTTGGGGATATCGTCATCAAAATTTGATCCCAATCAAATCCCTAATGAACTCAATATCTGAAATTTGGGGAAAGAATAAACTCCTTCCAAATAAGAGTTTATTCTTTGGGTCTCCAAGGCCCCGATAAATGCATGTCTCTCTCTCTCTCTCTCTCTCTCTCTCTCTCTCTCTCTCCTAGCCGACGACAACACCCTTGCCACTGGCCTCGCCACTCTCCATATTCTCTCCACGCTGCTCCGGCCACCACACACGACTTCGGCCACTCGGTTCTCACCCTAGAGAAATCTTCATACCCTTTTTTAGCTATTGGTTCACCTAGATTCAATCAAACTAACTTAAGCATTAGAGGTCATTTGGCCAACACCCCCCATGTGTGATCTATTTACTCCAGTCTTTTTTTATAGGAATCGAAGAAGAGAGAGAAGGAAGATCAAAGGTTGAAGAATCTACAAGCAGATATTCTCCCGCGAGACTATTTGCACAAATATTTGGTGCTTTCATTGAGAGATTCAAGATATACTCAATGCGATGCTCTCGAATCCAAATCAAGGGAAATTCATTTCCCCCCTCATCAATTCATTCCGTCATCAATTCGAAGCCCTCAAATCACCATGGTGAGAGGCCCCACCGCGAGGAATAAGACGAGAACTTGTCATTAGCGATCGTGCAACACCGGTGAGGTTTCTCTAGCCACCTGTGGTCAAAACCAAGGAGGCCAAAGGCAACCATAAATCAAAGTCCACTGTTCGATGCTCAGGGAATGTTCGTCGGATTGGTCGTCTTCTTAGTCAAAAAAGGAGTTCAGAGCCATCGCTTCTCCACTCTTTCAAGCACATATGTAGGCTAAAGTTTTAACAATCAACCCAAAACACACACACAAGTTACAACAAAAATAAAAGTCAAACGCAAGCAAACTAAAAAAGTCAACCCTTTCTTCAAGCTCTCTTGGGTAAAACAAAATACCCTAAATACGAGTACCCAATTCAAATGCCAGCAAAAATTGCATCCAAAGCTTGTAAATTTTAAATAAAAAATATAATTAGGTGCCTTATTTTCTTTACCACTAATCAAGTACATATGCTAGGCATTTGGTGTCTATACTATATGCGTGCTTTCTTATCATTAATGCTAAGTTCATGGAGGAAATATGGGAGGTTGGGGTCAGAGACAAGGAAGATGGTCAGGGTGTTTGTGAGGAAAGAAGAATTTGTTGGGTGTGTTTGAAGAAAGTAATGGAGGGAGAGAGAAGCCAAGAGATTAGGAAGAATTCAAGTAAGTGGAGGGAGTTGGCAAAGAAAGAATTTAGTGAAGGGGAGGAGCTTTAACAAGAATATTATTGGATTTGTAGAGCATTGAGGCTTGCTAAACAAGAAACAAGAGGCAAGGGAATTCTTGACTTGCAAATATTAAACTTGATTATGACAGTTATTAGGAGTGGGCATTCAAACAGAAAAACTGAAAAATTGAGCTAAATTGGGCCGAAAAGAACCGGATTGACAAAAAACTGGATCGGACCAATTTGGTTCGATTTTTTCAGATCAAGTGAAAAAATTGGACAAGACCAAACCATACCGGGTGTGTATTTTTAAAATTTTTAATAAACTATTTAACCCCATAACTAGTCTTTCCCCAAGCCCAATACCAAATCACCTCTCTTTTCTATGGCCAATCACCTATCTTTGCATAAAATTGGGCCATTTGTGAATTTTTAATCCCCAAAAATAAAATTTTAGTTGGGTTTTGTACCCAAAAATAAAAACCAAAAGTTTAAAAAAAAATTCCGATCCAAAACCTGAAACCGAACCTATTTATGGGCAAACCAAACTACACCAGACGGAATAATTTTTTCGTCAAAATCAGACCGAGTGAATATTAGCGGTTTTGGTTTCGATTTGGGGTGAGAATTGCCGTGCCCACCCCTAACGGTTATGTCTGAGAAAGTCAAGCACAAAGTGGTGGATTGTGTTCGTTGTCATGTGTTTAGTTCCTATTTTTATTATGTAAAAGACTTGTTCTTCAACTTCTTACCTTGTTTTTATGCGTGAAAATCATCAATTTCAGCCCGAGTACGACCAGCTTAAGTAAAGTCCAGCATGGCATGAGTAGTATCTTTGGACGAGCCAAGACGAGATAATTTGGCCCAATGTTGGCCTGAAACCCAATGGATTGGCTCATTTAAAGCTCATTTATTAAATTATATTTATTTTAGAAAAAAAGAATACATAATATTATTACATTTATATCTTAAATTCAAGTCTATTTCTTTTCTACAATAATATATATTAAAATTTAATGTTTTCTTTATATATAAAATAATGATTTTTTTTTTTCAAGTTTCAATTTTTAAAGTACAAACAATAATTTAGTCATTTGCTATCTAAATATACTTTAAATAAAGTTATTGACCTCTTTTTTCAACAAATAATAAATCTTGTTAGTATATACATAATTGTAAAAAAGATTTAAATGAAGTTGTAAAAAAAAATTACAAAAAAAGAAAAGAAGCAATACACAAGTCAAATTTCGCGTGGGTCTATCTCGGCCCGTTTAGTGGGCCAATACGAGCACGGCCCTAATCCATATAGACGGATGGACGGATCCGGCTCTGCCCGTTTATTAAATGGGCCGACTTTAAACGAACCGAGCCGACACGGTCTGTTTGACACCTCTAACCTTGTGACATTTCCGTATTAATAGTCAAATATAATTGACAAATTACCGAAGCACCAAATCATTGTTAAAAAAAAATTAAAAATCTATAAAGGTAACCTGATTTTTTATGTCTTTTTTTCTCTTTTTGAGAATTAGCGATAGATACATTGCATTGAGGAAGGGGGCACTTATCCTGGGATTCGAATAGGTGACCAAGGGGGAGGGGGAGGGACCTCACTACTGAGGTCAACCCCTCGGTCCCTGATTTTTTATGTTACAACATCTGATGAGTCTTATTTTGTCAACCAAGGTGCAACAAGAAGATTCCATCGTCGTCAACCAAAACACTAGAAACATGAGGGTTAAGCCCCATACTGACCGTCTGGTTGTGAAGAGAAAAAGCCTCTTTCATCTCACCTACTTTGCAATAGCCATCAATAAGTGCTGTATAAGTAACTTCATCTGGTTCTAACCCTTTGCTAACCATTTCATGGAAGAGCTTATCTGCTTCTGCTATCTTCCCTGTCTGACAAAATCAAGGAGGCTTTCCTCCATTCAGAAGAACCAAAGCAAAGAGGCTGCTTCATCACATCACCTATAAAGCAACAATTACTCACACCAAAAGTGACATATTATAACCAACCCTCTTCCAAGCTCTCCAATATGCTTGGAAATATGAATATGAATTGGTATGATTTTCTATTTTCAGTTTCAATTAACTTTTAAGTCCCGCAAACTTCCATTCAAATGTAGATATACTTGATATGCAATGCAAAAATGTGAATATTCATTACTTCGGGGGAGCACCTGCACCTCTCAATTTGGCCGTAATAATCTTAGCAACCTCGGCAAGCTTCTCAGTCTCAGGCATAACATATTTCACAGCAGCATCTGCACAAAACTTGTGAGCCCATTTGGCCAGCCCTGGTGTCTTTGTTTCGTCCAGCAGTTTGACCCCATTCATCTTCTCTGTCATTCTGAGCCACCCCAAGAAGCACCCAAATGCAATGTCAAGGTACCCGATTTTGTCTCCACTGAAGAAATCCTTTCCTTTGCTAGTCTTCTCAAAGGCATCCTCCAATAGCGCCAGCCCTTCAGCCACTTGCTCGATTGCAACCTTCGTCGCCTCCTCTCCTTGAGCAGCAGCAATGCCTCTCATGGACGGGAACCACTACAAGCAAATGCGACACATTGATAAGCAAATGAGTCATCAATGTATACAGAGTTAATCCTATTTTATTTAAGTGTAGCAAAAGCTCAAAAACCAACATCTCATTTGCCAATTCACAATCAATTATACATGCAAAATTCATTTTTAACATCAGTACAAAGCTTCATCACTTGGTGACAAGCATGATAACCGTGAACATCAAACTCGATGTCAAGGTACTCGTCTAGCATAACCAATTCACTCATATTGTGTAACACATGTATTTATTTACGATTTTATTGTCCATCCGTATTTGAATATGAAAGGAGTCGGTTTCCCTATTTGCTGGGATTTGATTTCAGAAAGGAAATGAAGGGAAGGGAAGAAAAAAAATACGTAAGTAAGAAGACATTTGAACTCTGAACTTTTCGTGCTGCTTGGCTATTCTGTATCCAATCATTCCCTACGTAGAGAAAGTTTCTTGTGCGTGTGTGAGCCCATTTGATCCCTGACATGACATAGCTGACAAAGTCAATAAGTTGTGTATTTTTTGGTTCATTTTTCCAGCATTCATACCAGAGTAAATGCCATTATGCTACGTTTAAAAAGAAAAAAAATAAGTATTGGGAATATAAGAAAACGTTTGCACCAGCCGGGAATCGAACCCGGGTCTGTACCGTGGCAGGGTACTATTCTACCACTAGACCACTGGTGCTAATGCTTTGTTGTGTTGAAACTTATAGAATCCACTAATTTATCAGCTTCGGTTAGTTGGAGGAGTAACTCTGAAAACACGGATAAGAGTTTGGTTTTAATTTCGCCGCGCACGCATTTTAATTTGTAGGTTTGCAAGCATCCTTGCTCATATTGTTTAACTTACCAATGTGGTGTGTGTTAGATTGATTTAGAGTATTCACAATTGTGCTCCTTATTTCTTAGCTAAAATTTAGCTAAAAATACAAAAAAGCTATTTTATGAGCTCTTTAAATTTTTTTAACTCCGACCATACTCCCTAATTTGGAGAGTTATAAATGCTTTACTTCTTCTTGTCATAAATACTTTACTTCTTTTTAAATTTAATTCCTGATTTGCAATAAAATATTCATATTCAAATACTAATTCCCAAATAATAAATAGAAATTTAGTGAAATAAAAATTACTCCATTCCTAGACATAAAACTATAAATATACCCTATACCATTCATTATATATAAACACACCCAAAATAAACCCAAAAATCAACAATTGTATATTTTTTTAATTTAATTAATAAGATCAAATACCTTTATTGCCCTTTTTAGCATTAAATTAGTTTTGGATCTCGTTTAGAATCTATAGAATGCAGAGAACATTAAAATTAAACAAAACCACTCCCTGAGGTCTGAAGCCTCAAGCCCCTCTCCTCCTTCAAACCCACATCTCTCCTCTGTTCTCTCCCTTCTTCCCTCTCTTTGCCTTCAAAGTAAACCAAACAGTCTCAGAGCCATGGACCAACACAAGACTGACGACAATCTCCGTTACGTCGGTGGCCTCACACGTGTTCTCGCCGCTGATGCCTCCATTTCCTTTGCAGGTTTGTTCCATCTGCTTCAATTCGTTATTTTCCTTTTGATTTTTGCTTAATTTACTTGAATTTTGACTCGATTTCAGTTTCTTCGTTGAATTTGGCGCTAATTTCCATTTTTTCGATATGAACAGAGCTAATGGTTAAGCTCGCGGAGTTCTGTGGCTACTTTGTAGATTTGAGGTGTCAATTGCCGGACGAAGGCTTTCAGAACGCCGACGCCGGTGGTGATTGTGAGAAGCACGAAGATGAA